GAATAAATTTCATTCTTTAGTATTTCAAGAAATCTTTCTGTAATTTTGGTAAATATATCTGTTAAAGTAAGACGCCGATGTTGGTTTTTTTTTTTTTAATTTTTGCGTAATTTAGACGACAATTTATCCATCGCACTCTCTTCGTGTGTATGCGTGTGGGGGGGGGCGTAGGGGGAGCGTGTACAGCTTAACAAAGACACCGACGAAGAACAGATTTCTGGCTCAACGGTAAAAAATGCAAGTGGAAATTTAACTCGACATGTTCTAAATCATTCGCCAGAGGATCGGCATCCAAAGAGTTTTTTTTTTTTTCGTTTCTCGTTAGTGAGGCGGGGTGGGGGTTGGCCTCGTGGGTGGTACAAGCAGAGACGGGGCAAAACCAGAACAGGTCGATAGAGATAAATCTTCTGGTGTCTAATAATACACATTCACACACACACACACAGATAGAGAGAGAGAGAGAGAAACAGTGTGAGATAGATAGATAGATAGATAGATAGATAGATAGATAGATAGATAGATAGATAGATAGATAGATAGATAGAACCAGACTGACATAAATAAATAGATAGATAGATAGATAGATTCATAGATAGATAGATAATGAACATACTGAGATAGATAGATAGATAGATAGATAGATAGATAGATAGATAGATAGATAATGAAAAGACTGAAATAGATAGATAGATAGATAGATAGATAGATAGATAGATAGATAGATAGATAAGAAAATGCTTGAAATAGATAGATAGATAGATAGATAGTAAGAACAGGCTTGTAGATAGATAGATAGATAGATAGATAGAATGTGATTCAGGCCCTTCAGAGAGAGATGCACAACTTCCCATGATGAGGGACATATTACGTCATGTGAAGCTAATGCTAAAGTAGTCGAAAGGTCGTCACGTTGCAATGCACATCACTCCACGCAACCGATTCGAATTCTGAGTTTTCCTCCTTTGAGACCAGCCAAGGCGACAGAATACAATCGACATTTACTCTTTAGCATTTCCTGATAGTCTTCTGTAATTTTCTTAAATATATCTATTAAAATTAGATGTCAGTGTTATTTGCATATCTGAGTAATTTGGACGACAATTTATCCATCGCACCACAAACACATATATGTACATATATATATATACGTATATGTACACGCACACACACACACACACACACACACACACACACATATATATATATATATATATATATATATATATATTATGAAATAACTTAATTAATAATTTATAATAAACAGTATTAAATAACATTCACCGGCCTGAATGTCCGAGAAATTTTCAGAGAAAATATTCGTCCTCCGATTATAAACATATTATTTACTTAAATATTTGTATCTATAAAAAGAATGTATAAACATATAAAATGTCTTAAAAATAATTGTCGGACTTTGTCCATTTCATAATATATATATATATATATATATATATATATATATATATATGCACATTTCATTGAATACAACAGACATGGTGCTTTTATTCAGTTTTTTATACAATTTCTCATGTGATCTATTTCTTATTTAACAGTTGAAATATTTAATCCTTGAAAATGGCTAAATGTATAGCCGAAAGCGCTCGAAAAAAAAAGAACATTTGGACAGTTTTTATATAATTTATCATCTGAAAAGAAAAAAAAATATTAGATTACATGAGAAATTATATAAAAAAACTAAATAAAAGCATCTTGTCTGTCTTATTTAATGAAATGTGCATGAAAGAAGGATTACTGTCGTAACACACACACACACACATGTGTATATATATATATATATATATATATATATATATATCGGTGTATTCCTCCCTCTATCGGATTCTGTCCATTTCATAATGTGTGACGTCATTTGATTACATTTGGATACGCCGTGAGCAGATATGAATGTACGTGACAGAATCATGGATGATTGAAGTTTAAATACAGTAAATTCGACCTTGCTAATCGAACGCTCCTCTGTGGCCAAATCGGTAAATGCACGTCAAGCTAAATGACGGTTCCGTATAGAATACAGGTTCGAATCCTATCGGAGGACGAATATTTTCTGTGAATATTTCTCGGACATTCAGGCCGGTAAATGTTACTTAATACTGTTTATTATAAACAGAGCATTTACTTAAATATTTGTATCTATCAAAAGAATGCTTATATATATATATATATATATATATATATATATGGCAGATAAGGGATTTTTTATTTAATTTTTCCAGCATTCTTACATTTATCCGTTTGGTAAGAATAAGGGAGTACAAAAATTTTCTGTAATTTTCATTGTCCCAAGCGCTTTCGGTCATTCTTTAGCTATTTTCAAGGGGTGTTTCGTTGTTGGTGTTTCGTGTTAGTTCCCCCTGCCCCTGTTTTGACTGTTTAAGTTGTATTCGATTTTCGTGTTTATTCCGAGCCTTCGCTTATTGAACGTGGCTGGACTCCGCCTGAGTATATTTCTATTTTTTAATCCATTCTCAGTGTTAAATAAAGTGCAAGTGATAGTAGTAGAGTGATATTCAATATACAGGTTCGCTTTAATAGTGAGATGTTTCCGTTAATGTGACTTATATAGAATTTTAGTGTTTTCAACCAGAATCTTTTTTTAGCGTTCTTGTAAATTGTGGATTGATAGATGTTTTTCATAGCGCTTACATGTGATAAGTAACACATGAGACGCTTAACTCCCTCGCTCCTACAAACTAAAAAACCAAATAAAATATTATTTAAACTTTCCTTATCTGCCATATTTAATGAAAGATGTTTAAAAGAAATGTTGCTAACCAATTATACGTTAATATATATATATACATATATATATATATATATATACAGAGAGAGAGAGAGACATCTACAGACAGAGTGTTTCACTGGATCACAGCTCATCAGTGTAGTTGGATGTCGGATTTTTTTCCACTAAAGATTCTATCCCAAAGTTCTCGTCGCACGGCAAGGGAAATTTTAACGTTTTTAATATACGAAAGACCTTAGTGGCTAGGAGAGCTCGATTCTAGTTGAAGAACAATGCATATATATATATATATATATATATATATATATATATATATATATATATATATATTGATGCATGTTTCATTAAATAATATAGACAAGTTTTTGTCTATTTTGTGTAAATTCTTTTCATAACGTCTGATAAGCTTAATAACATTATCATTAAACGAAGAAAGAAAATCACAATTTCGATCCATATTTTTTAATCCTATCTAAGCTTTCGGCTTACATAAGCCATTATCAAAGATGTCAATTTCATTAGAATATATTAAGCAATACACTGACAAAACAATAATGATAGTCTGTTTCTGTTTACATGGAAGATTTCCAAGCAACGACAAACTCGTGCATATAAAACGCTGGAAGCGAAAATCGCGTCGCACCTCGTAATGTCACACATGCACACGCGAGAGTGAAAACGAGAAGTATTAAGTATGGGAAGCCGTTGGTATAAATCAATGGCTTCTGTTACCAATTATAGACATTTAAGTAAATTTGTGGAGTTTTCATAGTTTATTTTGTTCAGGTTAGGTTTCAACTGTTTTATGTATATAGGTTCAAGAATGTTTAGTTTTTGTTTATTGTTTTCTTGTTTAAGTATAGTTGTGTTTTCAACAAGGATTTTCCGGAATTGTGTATGCGACCAGGCATGTTGTGTTTGTGTGAGCTCCCGGTGGGCGAGCGCGTGTGTCTGCGTAGCTCAATGGGTGTACGGGTTTGTATGTATGTTTGCGTAAGTATGAATGGCGTTCCGACAACATTTCCCCCACCACTTCCATAAAAACACCAATACACGCAATCTACCTAAATCCAAGATATTATAAAAATTAATCAGTTTGTCTGACGATCGCAAAAGCGTGAAACCCAGGGTCACAAACTCACATCTATCCAACCAAATATGTTAGCTCTATCTCTGATATTGAGCGCTTTCTAATAAGTACCGCGCATATAAGATATAAATAATATATATAATATATTGCACTTGCACATACACTTTTCATATATATATATATATATATATATATATATATATATTACATTACGATGTATATTATATATTATATATATATTATTACATGCAATATATCATTTCTATAAAAGGCAGGATGTGTGTGTGTGTGTGTGTGTGCAACGAATGCACGGCCATAATTTTCGACGGATTTGCACCAAAATTTACATGCAGAGTTAGCGGAAAGGACAAGACCGACTTTGCATTTCCCAACTCCCATCGATAGTGGAAATAATCGATTTTTTCATGCTTCTACGGCAGTTTTCATGTAGTTTGCGGCCATTTTGTACTGGCCAGGGTGAGAGCCAATAGCTGGCTGCCGCGAATAGGCAGGAAGATTCTATTGGCCAGCGTGAGAGCCAACAGATGACTGACACGAATGTTAACTAACATGCAAAAAAAAATCGATAGCTGCATTCGTCACAAGTGGGAAAAATTTAAATCTGCATGGTACTTTACTCCAATTGGCTCATTCGCTTGCTTAAACTCAACGTTGATTCTGATTCCGCAGAACTGGGTTGGGTGTGAAAAAGTATTTGTTGTTAACATTCTTTTTTCATTCGGCTTTTCCAGTTACGAGTCCTTTTTTAAAGCTGGTCGTTTTGTGTTCATTTTGTTTAGTTCTTTTTTCGTAACAGATTTAATGTTTAGTATAGAGCTTAGAAAAAATTCGCAGTGTGAGATAGGCAAGAAGTAAGGCATGTAGCAACATCAGCACGGCAAAGGACACTCCTTTAAAGGCAAGGAAGGGCAAACATATTTTAAGTCAAGTGATATCGATTGCTGTATGAGTCGTACGATTTTTGAATCAAGCACGGGCAACGCCGGGCCGTGCTGCTAGTATATATATATATATATATATATATATATATATATATATATATATATATTATAAATTAACTGATTTAAAATATGGTTTCTTCGTTACACAGGAATTACCATGTTTCAAAAACCGAACCTAAAAACTTCAAATTTAATTATATAACTAAATTAAAATCGTTAGTTCTGTTTCATCTTCGCTTCAAATTTTAAATCTGTTAATTTATAATATTTATGCTCTGTAAATTTATATTGAGCACTGTTTTGTAAAAATAAAAATATCAATTGAGAACACCGGATTATATCTCTAACTGTTCATTCTTTTTTTTTATATATATATATATATATATATATATATATATATATATATATATATATATATATATATATATATATATATATATATATATATATATATAGGGCACGTGGATGAACGCTCGGTTTCTGACCATGAGATCCGGGTTCGAATCTCACCATAGTCGATTTGTCAGGAAAGAGACTTCCTGATGTTATCGAACGATAGCTGTATTAGCACGAAGTCACAAGTCATCGTGACCGAGAGCGTGAGCATATAATCTACAATTTGAACAAAGCCTTATGATCACGCTAGATAACACGCTCTCTTCCAGAAACTGTAACTAAGGTCTGCTCAGCATAGTTGCAGTATAAACCACAGGTTGGCTCCATGGGTATTGAAGACACACAAATGTGCCTGAGCAAGCATCTGCAGTAGGGATTGGTTAGACGCCCTACGGTTATCCTCGAATACGAGTGGCCAGCTAAATATATATATATATATATATATATATATAAAATCATATTTAGTCTATATTTCTGAGATGAGGCATTACGTACATTATTTACATGATTCGAACTATTGTCCTCATCGTTGTCGCCATATTTATTACAACGTTTCGGTCGTTGTACACTCCGGCCTTCTTCAGGTGGTTGGAATTTCGAACTGAACCCTTTAT